CCCCCCCCCGCCTCGCGCGCGCCGCGGCCGTTGAGGGCGGGGCCGCGGCGCCAAGCGCCGCGCGCGCGCTCTCCCCTCACGAATTGCCGCCCCGACTTGGTTAATTAACACTTGGCCGAACCCCCAATTAGCAACTTTTAAACGGTCCCCTTGTCACGCCGCCACCTCACGTTTATCCCCCCGCCCGGCTGTGGGCTGGTTTCTCCTCACAGGGGGCAGGCACTCGATTCAGCAAGACGCCGCCCGCCATTTTGAAACAGGCCCTCCCACTCTTCACTCTTTGGGGGTAAAAAGTCATTTTTTAAAGCGTTTTGAGGTTCCCCGGTCTCCCACGCTTCGCTGGATTCTTAAGGTTTCACCCCGGACTCCTTTTTCCCCTTGAGAAACCTTTTTACTCCTTTTTCCCTTGAGAAAACTCTGACGATCGTGTTTCAGCTGTGATTCCTTCAGCGCTGCAGTTTCATTCCAGTGGAAGATGAAAAATCATAGAAAAATCTTAAAGATCATCCAGTTCCAACCCCCGTGCCCTGGGCAGGGACACCTCCCACCAGACCAGTTTGCCCATCCATCCTGGCCTTGAACATCGTCCTTGCTTCTCTGGGCAACCTGGGCCAGTGACCCCTCACAGCCATTAGCCACATAACCACGAAAATATTGTTGCCCATCCCATTGTAACTCTTTTACACCTTACTCTACACGTTCCTCACAGTGATGGGGAAAAAAAATACAACCACAGCCATCAAGACTGTCAGGGAGATGCTGTTAAGTGGCGACGTCCCTGGCAAATCTAGAGTTAATCTGATGGACTTGTCTCTCAGCTGATGGTGCCCAGAGTAATCCAATTAGGATAACTAGAAGTGGCCAGAAGTGCACAGTGCAGTGGGTGGATCTGCACACACACCCCTTGGGGTGGATCTGATCAGAAAACAAAAATAAGGTCTATAAAGCTGGAATCACAACTTTTACACATCAAACCGCTAGCAATTTCTCCACTCTATAAACTGGCATTCAGGACAGGGAAGACAGCCAAACGTCCCTGGCAAATCTAGAGTTAATCTGATGGACTTGTCTCTCAGCTGATGGTGCCCAGAGTAATCCAATTAGGATAACTAGAAGTGGCCAGAAGTGCACAGTGCAGTGGGTGGATCTGCACACACACCCCTTGGGGTGGATCTCATCAGAAAACAAAAATAAGGTCTATAAAGCTGGAATCACAACTTTTACACGTCAAACCGCTAGCAATTTCTCCACTCTATAAACTGGCATTGAGGACAGGGAAGACAGCAACCATTTAAAAAGACTCCGTTGACTTCTTGCACTAATTAAATGCTAGCTCAGCTCTAAATCCTCCTCCCGGACTTGAGCAGTGAAGGAGTAAATACCACGTGTCCCTCCTCCGTTCAAGGGTACGGCTCCCGCCAGGCAGTATGTAAGGAACAGGACTCCAATATAATCTCCACACAAGAGAAAAACTGCTCTTCAAATTCTGGAGACACATAATTCAACCCTCCTCATGAGTTACAGAGAAGGAACACGGAGATAAGCAGATTTAAACAAGTTTTATTCATAAACTGTTTGGGGGAAGGAAATTTAGTGATATAAAAAAAATGTCAAGAAACAAACGGACTTTCTTAAAGTCTAACCCATTCAGGCACGTTTATAAATTCATACCTCAACTGCTGAGAGAACACATCTCCACACATTTTACTTAACCTGGGCCGTAATGAATATTGTATTTGAGAATTGTACAGAAAAGACGTTTCTGTAGCCAACTTGCAACTAGCATTACCAAATTACTAGCTACACGTTACACAAACACCACCTTACCATAATAATCAAGAGGTACATTATTTCTCTCTTTTTATACATTAACCCAGTATGACGGGTGCAGTCAATCACAAATGACAGGGTTAAATTTACACAGGTTTGTAGTCGAGCTTGGACTCCAGCTTCTTGGAATCGGCCACTTTTCTAACAGCTTTCATGAAGTCTTCCTGAACTACAAAGTCGTGATCGGCGCGGATCGCAAACATACCTGCAAAGAATGATTTAACAGCAAGAGTACATTGGGTGTTAACTCACTAAGAAACATATAACCCGTTTTAAACTACAAATGGGTAGTTATTGTGTTACTCAGCCTTCCCATGTAGGCAAAACCCCAAGCATACAATGAATTTATAATGGAAAAAGTATAAAATAGTATTAATTCTCCAGTCACCAAGGTACTAAAAGACTTGGATTCTCTGCAAAAAGGACAGTTTGTGGCTGTTTGTGGACTGTATCGAATTTTTCTGAGACAGTACAACAGATGTCACAATACTCAGCCAAACTCCGGTTTATCCTCAGACCTGACAAGAGACTGTAACCTTAGAGGGAGGATGTAAAGAATCAAGTCCTGCCTGACCATAAAGGTCACAAGGAAACTTGAAAGAAATAAAAAGAGATTTTGTTCAAGTTGTTCCATCGAGCTTCAGGGCACATCAATGTGCTGCTGCTTATGCTTCACAGTCCATACACACGTGACATACTGTGAAACGAGCAACTGTTTTGGCATTCTTTTTTACTGTCCAAGTGCAAACATCTCCATTAAGTAAATACAATCCAGCCCTTAAGAAGGGAATATAAAAAGGTGAGCACCACTGAACAAGTGCTGTGTTAGCAAAACATTTTTCACCTCCCGATTTTAATCTATTCCCAGTACTGGAGAAAACAGCTCAAATGTTTAGTGTTTACCATGACTTAGCACATCAAAATTAAGAGTTAAGAAAATACCTGCTTCAGTACAGACATTTCTCAAGTCTGCTCCATTAAAGCCATCCGAAAGCTTCACAATTGCTTCATAATCTGGTCATAAAACACGAATGCCAATTAGAAATAAATTCCCACTTCCTGCTACGGATGCCAAAGAAACACATATCCAGCTAACAAAGAAACACTTTACTCGGATTTCAGTGCAAACGGATAGCTGTCCACTAGACCGACAAATCAGCTGAAATCAGCTACATTACCCCTTTCATTAAAAAAGAAAGGTATGGCAGCCAAAAGCTCACATTATACAATTAAATCCTAAAGTTACTAATTCAAGGTTACAAGCATCAACATGAAAGGCAAGATGAGCTACATCAAGGCAATGTTCTAATCATCGTTTAAATGATGTAAAAAAACCAGAAAACTTATCTCCAAGTGATCATCACTCAGTCCCTTTCTGCTTATAACAACTGCACCTACTAAAGGCATTTAACATCTTGATATATTAAGCCTGATATTTTATGCGCATATATTTACTAAAAAGACTGGCTATGCTTATCAATTTCTAAAAGACTCTTGTCTGTTGAGCCTCCAGCAAGTTCTGATTTATGCAATGCTGCTTATTAAATAAAAAAAAAATAAAAAAAATAAACTTTCTGGGTAACTTTTCATTACAGAGGATTAGCTTTTGAAATTCAAAACATTTGAACTGAAAGTTTTTATCTTAAGAATCCCCAAAACCCTAGAGATTAGAAATTCTTCAACTTTAAGTCCATGTGGCACAATGTGCTACAAACAAGTCTCTCCCCATAACAGAAAAATAAAATAAAAAAAAATAAGCAAGGGACTGATAGATATTGAATGTTGTAAGGTTTGTATGTTTAGAGTCATTAGTAGACTCTGGCTGGAGAATGGTTTTAATGCAAATTAGGGTTTTAATGCAATTTATACCCCACTTTGCCAGTAAATTCTGGGCTTCCTTTGAGGATCTTAAAGCTGAGGAGCAGAGCCTTCTCACATCGTGTTCAGAAATTTACCCAGTACCCATCTAACACCTCCACCTTCCACTCCAGTGCCCGAAGATATGGGAAAAAGGCTCAAGTACTTTATCTCAGGTTCCTGATTTGCTTTGGAGCTTCTCTACCTCAGATTCTCGGCGCATGCATGTTTAAGCCAACGTTGCTGCTAAGAAAGGCAACCCTCATCCCTCTCCTGAGCCTCCCCCCATGGAGCTGCAGCTGTTTATGCAGCCAGATGGTGAAGGAGATCAGTTCCACCATCCCTGTCCTCTGCCTGGCCGCATGAATAGCTCCTGTCAGCACGGAGGAGGCGGGGGCGGCCACGCAGGCTGGGAACAAGCCCAGCCTTACTGAAATAAAAGGCAGCCAACAATGTCGTTTTAAAGGCAAATCACAATTACATTTTACTTGAGGAAAGCTC